CGGCCTTCCTCTAGACCGCTTCTTCGGCGGCATCAACTTTTCAAATGACGTTTTTCACCGTCATACATGTAAGAATTAAAAACTATTTACTGATATGGATACTACGATAGTTTGTTGTTCGCACATGATTCAAGATGGAACTTTGAAAGCCCTAATTAGTAAGATGGAAGAAGATATCAAAGCGATTCCACAACTACGAGGAAAATAGCGTATTTTTCATAGCTGAAAAATGATCCGGGCGCTCAAGGCATCCCGGTTGAAAATGGGCCTTTAAGTTTGGACCTCGTTGGTTGGACTTATGCAAAGGCCCTTGTCGAGGTTGTCCCAAAAAAGTTCTTGTTGTTACACGACCCCACAAGCTCCCAGCCTTTAAACCTCATCGTGTTTAAATAAAGGATATGATTGATTGATTGATTGTCACAGAGAGCAGTTATCATTGAAAAACGGAAAACGGGTGTCTTGTTTGTTATATTGACGGAATCGAAAAGGTGGGAGTAGCTTGATGTTTATTTTTTCTCAATTTTCAGCGGGTACTTAATTGTAGGCAGTGATTCTAACAAATAAAGGGGATAAGTTTCTCAAGAAACTGTGGTGCTGTGTCGGTGGGGGCGGGGGTGGGGGGTATAACAAGATAAGTTGGTATGAATTGAGTTGATAAATTGGCCGCCGTGAAGAGTTTCTTGAGCTGACGTTTCAAGCTTTAGCCCCTAGTCAGCGGTGAGCGAATAACAACGTTCCTTTGCTCTGATGAGGGGCTAATCCCCATAACGTAGGATTTAAAAACTCTTTACGGTGGCCAATTTACATTATCAACTCAGTTGAAACCAAATCACCTGATTACAATAAATTATGGCCTATGTAAGATAAATACCAAGGAGATAAACTTAGGATATCCTCAAGAATAAAACGTTATCGATTTTTGGCCGAGTTATAGATTAAAATTTGATTTAAACTGACCCTTTTTTATAACCGTTATAAGTCAAGAGGTTTGCGCACTGGCACACAAGACTTTAAGAGCTTGCTCTTAAGAACTCTGCCATGTCATGACTACAGGGTAAAAACCAAACCAATAACAAACGCACCAAACAATAATAATCATAATCATGAATATGACCTCAGGGTTCTCTAGAATTTCTTGATTGCATTCGCGAGGTACATACTATTACCAAAAATTGTACTGCTAACGAGTCTCTTCAGTTATTTTACCACCGAAAACAAATTAAACCCATAAAATACAATACGGAAAAAGAAAAATCGAAAGATTGCTGCAAAGTAGAAAAGTTTTTTAACGTGCGAGTAATTTTGAAATCAAACCAACCATGTAAATTAATACCGGTAACCGACTTGTCTTCACCTACCTGGGGCAGAGTGTACGTCTGCTTCAAATGCTTTAAACTTACCTTCCATGAATTGTCTGTCACTTTTTACCGGCATCGACGTAAAAACAACCATCGAAAGCAGATAAAAGTGAACATTCATGATGCGTTTTGAAAGTGATGTCTAATGAAAACGTGAATGTGCACAAAAGGGTGTAATTTGGAAAACTGTTTGTTCATGTCGAAAGACTGTTGATAAATTACTGTCATATTACGTCAACTCCGTCTGTCCATGGGAGGTACTAAAAGAGAACCTCGATACCGCAACCTTTCACACCAGTGACCCATAATATCGAGGCCTTTTTTTATGGTATCTTAAGATTTGAAGAACTTGAAGTTTTCTCAGCTGTTGAAACGTCTCAGAATGTCCCATGAAATTTTAAAAAAACCTGTGCAGTTTGAGCAAGCATCAAAGATGGTTTGAACTTTGAAAATTCGGCCTCACGAGCGTCACATGGAATCAAAGGAAAATCTTTGTAATAGGGTTTCTTCAGACCGTCAAAAATAATGGTTTTAAATGACGCAAGTTTGATGTTACCATGGTCAATGAGTCGGACCATACACTACCAGAAAGCAGGTGTTTGCATTGGCTTCCTTAACGCCTTAATGAATAAAGAAGACATGGTACCAGCTAGATTTTCTGTAAAAACTTTTTTTAATATATTAAAAATATGGTTAACTCATGGCCTTTGATATTGATTTCTTCTCCTAATGTTCGTTTTCTCTGTTTCACTGTCTTTGGAAACAGCTGGGTATGTTCAAGACGGTGAGTATCAACTGAGACGAGACCGACACAAGCTAATGGAACGCAATAATAGCAGCTGAGTCTGAACTTTATCGATTTAAGAATATCACTTTTAATATTTTCTCAGCTTCAGTCTGGGTTTTGTAACAAAATTTAGACTAAGTAATAAAGTTGAAAACCAGAAGATTTATTAAATCCACGACATGAGCTTGATGAGAATCACCAATACCCTCGGATAAATTTCGACACAAATACAGCAAACTAAGAGGCACAAGCTATTGGATTTAAGCAGCTTTAGTCTGCGGTGAGGGCAGGAGACAAAGAAATCACTTCAGACTACTTTCTTTTTGGTCAAATAAGACGATATTGATGGAGATTACTCGGCATCACTTCACTAACCTTAGTCTATTCAGGCGGGATGATAACTCTCTCAGTCATATCTAAAACGAGCAGCTGCTCGTATGTAGAATGAGATAGAGGGCGCCTTTATCAAAATATCTCAATGAGATCAAGAAATTTAATATTGCGCCTTAACTGGGAAGAAAGTACATGTAACAAACAACATGAGGGTTACAATCTTAGTCAAATATTCTCACTGGATCAGTCGACCGGAGAAAAGACTCGTCTTAGCTTTACTGTTGCCTATAAGCGTTTCGAGATATCTGAGCTAGACATGATAAACATAATTAGCGCCTTGTGCTCCCACACAGTAGTCCTGGTCATCTATTCTGTCGTGTTGTTTCCCGGTAGGGCACTGTTTGAAATTTCTTGTAATGCATTTGTTTGAAAAACCATCTTTGCTGTAGGTATGCTTAACACTCGGTCCCGAGTAACACTCACCTTAAAAGAACAAAAACCAAATTCATTAAATACAATATTTGTTTTATTTGTATAATCGTATGTTTTAAAGAAACACTTCATTACAAATAATTAATACTGACTGTCCTACCGTGATTTTGCACTCCAAAGTATTCGTAGCCAAGCTCCTGGGTGAGTTCAGCACATCGGCAAAGTAAGTCACTCAGGTAAGTGTTGAGTTCCCCCAGCTGTGCTTTATTGCCGCTGTATTTGGTTGAGCTCTCATCCATGTCAGTAAAAATAAGCTCTGGCATAGGCCTGGAAGACGTTTGCAGGTCAGAAAAACAGCCGACTTTCTTGAACTTTGTGAAGCAACGTTTCGCTGAGAACAAGAGATCAAACGCCTCAGAACTCGCTTTGCGAAAAATGATGAAAAAAGTGGAAAGGATCTAATTAAAGATCCGCTAAAAATTTAAGACAAACTTATCTGTGTACAATCGGTAAAAACCTATTAGATTCAGGGTGTTTTTTTATCATTCTATCAGTGGGATTAATTGTTACTTTCATTCCCTTACGGACTTAAATGGCGACGAATGAATACTTAAATGTGAACTTATTTTATTGCATGTTTATTTTACCTTATTTAACAGTTTTACCTTAACTAATGGAAGTATCGAATGGAATCTAATAGATTCGAGAATTTCCAGCTTTTTTAGAATTCCGAGTCAGTTAAAACTGATCATGAGATTCTCAGAGCTACCGGTGGTTATCTCTGAAGTACCAAATCATTAGAAGTTTTGCCAATCTTCCTGGATAGGATTCTCTGAAGTCGATGAGGAGCTAACTTTGCATAGGAAAAACTCTTCTCAAAAAGGCGAAACATTATAGATTTTCTCGCAGATGTCTCGCAGACGTCGACCAAAAAAATTAATAAGTCCTCAGTACAGTACTACGCATCCTGTACTGTCTAAATTGAGACCAAACCTTTGGTAGTAGTGTAAAAAATTGCCAATTGTGCCCATATCAATTGCTGGCAGACTCCCTGGCAATCAAGGTTACCCGATGGCGTCAAAAATCGCCTATTGCGTTCATGTCCAAGCACTTCATTCCAATTTATTCATAACCAAGCAATAACTATTGTTCACTTTTGTGATAATTTCTTGGCTGTTCAACAGCAATTAACTTTTAAAGAAATTCGACTTATTATAATGGGACCCGATCAATATTTCTTTTCAATAGAAGCGAGCTAAGAGTTGAGCCCCGCAGAGGATGATAATAACTGAATTATAACAAATACGGGATATTGTGTACAGTTAAAATGAAGTAATAATTTAGCAAGGAACATTCAACTTGGTGGCCCTTCTTGTCCACTGTTTCCAGATCGAATTGGAATTTGGAATTTTGGTTTTTGCGGAGGGAGGAAAACCGGAGGTCCCGGAGAAAAGCCTCGGAGCAAGGACGAGAACGAACAACAAACTCAACCCACATGTGTGACGCCAGGTCCGGGAATCGAACCTGGGCCTCAATGGTGGGAGGTGAGTGCTCTCACCACTGTGCCATCCCTGCTCCCTTGAAGAAATGTTACCTTGCTTAGACTCGTTTTCTTTAGATATGCTGTAAACGTATGTGGTAGTCGCGTTCCCGCCGCAAACATTCGCATCGTTTGTATCACACTCAGCGAATTCCTTCGAGATGCAGAATTCAGACGGACCGTCATTACTGTACGTTTTGTCTGAATTTTCACCTGACCAACACTCACCTAGAATCAAAAGAATTCTCGTGTAAACTCTCAGTCAGTACGTACAATTTCTAGAATTTGAGTTAAGGGTGATTTCCACGAATTTACGAATAGCCTACGTTAGCTTTTGAAGTGACTTTTTGGGCGCAAACTAAGGTTAGGAAACGCACTTTATATTAAAGAATACATACTGAAAGGCTAAACAAACAATACCTTATTGAGGACTCAGTATGTTGCAAGCCAGATGAAAGGAAATTATATATTGAATAAAGTGTTGTAGAGTCGAAGACTTATTACAAACGAGTTGGGTTTTTTGAAACTAAAAGAACGGAGTCCTCGAATCAGTATGGAAAGGTTTTATACGCAGCTACTTCGAGGACATTCAGCTGAAAAGATGCAGGTAGGTCTAAAAGCCAGCCAATGATCTTACGACACTTTTTCATGGCTGTATTTCACGGTGCATAGGACCGCCTAACTGATAAACAGTTTTTGGTCGGCCTCGGGCAGTTTTCTCAGTCCAGTATCTAGCATCGTAATAAATCTGTCCTTGTTCGTTCTCACTTTCTTCGTTTCATAACGCGTCGTGTTAATTCGCCCCGTCTACAATCAAGGACCTGTCTGGAGTCTTCTTTCGGGAAATTAACGTACTAGACTCTCCCTTGATGAAAACAAGGGAAAACACTGCTACGTAAAAAAAAGCCTGTTTCGACTTTACCCTACCAAAATTTTCAATCCCAAAATGATAAAATCCTTTTGCTTTCGAAACTTGAGCACATCGACAAACCACGTTCTGCAGATAACTGGCCCAGCTTCCCCAGTCTATTGGAACACCACTAAATTTGGCGTCTCTAGCATTGAGGTCTGTAAACATCAATTTCGGCAAAGGCTTTGGACTTTGTAAATCGTTAAAACAACCTTTTTTGATGAATTGCACCGGACAGTCGCCTAAAAGGGAAAGACACGAAAACTACATTCTTGAGTAATTGGTGGATAGCGTACGAACAGATCTGGAAAAATTCTGCTCGTCTTAAGCTGGCAGAGGAAAAAAAAAAGCTACTCAGAGCGAGAGGTTAGGAATGATGTGAGAAACGAATGAAAAAACACTAACAAGATTACGGTTCCTTTTGGTGTTTCTCCTTGGTAATTGCTTTTCTTGAACGAAAGCGTGCGAACCTGGCTATTCAGAATTATGATCGCAGTCACGTGTCAAACAAAACATTTCTCAGAGGTGAAAGGCCTACCATTATGGTGTTCTTGATCCTTGACAAGTTCAACAGCTTTCGACGGTAATATTTTCTGTTGTGCCGCAGCTATGAGTCAAATAACAATACTTCACTCTCTCAATAAACATGAAGTATACTCGATAAGAAGAGAAAGAAAACGATATCGTCCTTATCAGTGACTATTTCCAGAAACTCTCTTATGATAGAGCAGGTAAGACTGCAAAAGTTTAATCAACAGTTCTCCATTTTTTCAAGGCATGTTGGATCATGTCTTTATCCTCGAGTCCTTTCGATCATCATTAATATTCAATAATTACATAGTTATAATCTTTTTCATGTCATGTTAGATGCCTACGCGAATTCCACGGGATTCTCGGGGGTTGTACGACAAGATTGCGTTAAATCTAGCCAATGTAATTTTAGGGCTTTTTTGACTTGTTATACACACGTCGGCAAGATTCTAGTCTCTTGAAATGTTAAACCGAAGTTGTATTGTTGTTATAACTATGTGATCTAAGAATTACTAAAAGACCCGTGGTTTCCTCTCTCTTTTGAAAAAAAAAATTAATTAACAAAAAAAACTTACCAGAGCACGATTTGTCGAGAAGAGCATTTATGATTTTGACCAGGTCTGTGTATTGATCGACCATAAAAACGTGATTAGCATCACCCATAGCTATGGACGTCAACTCGGGTTTATTCACATCCTTTCCAACACCAACGGCAATCACAACAACATTCTTATCCTCTCAAATAATCAGAAATCAAAAGTTTATGATTGAATGATAAAATATTGAAATAGAGACAGAGGGAATAACATATGTAACTTTAAATTGTCTAAAGCAAGGCGATGCTGGTTTTTCTTTCCACCTGCTAGAAGTGCAATGAATGATTCTTTCAGTCACTTTCGGAAATTTTAAGAAACATCAAGAAACAAACTTTTGGCGGCTGGCCGGAGCTGCATGGCTACAAATTAGTCCTTGCTATATATACCTGACAATACGAACAATTTGTATTGTTTGTTTATTTTTTTCTTGATACTTTAAACATTTATTTTAACTTCGTTTCAAATCAGATTTCTTGTAGATTCTGGTAGTCAGACTTGCGTCCCAACAAAGATTTAAAGCAGTTTTCATACTCAGAATCTCCTTTTGTCCTTCCGCTCGCGGTTAGCGCTGACATCAAATGGGGAGCTGACTCGGTCCGTCACTCACGATACGAATTTCGAGGTCGGTTAGTAAAAGGTGTTTACTTTATAGATTAATTTGGCCTTGATTAGCTGAATTTCTTAAATTTTGGTTCACCATTTTGACAAATTTGGCCTAGATGAGATGTGTGACATGTGAAATGACATGGTGGAAAAGAACACTGGGAAATGCGCTGTTTGGGTGACAAAAGCTGCAACAATTTTTTCATGTTAACCCTTCGTGAGTGAAAGAAGGCAAATTACATCACTGACAAAAAAAAGCAAAAAAGGGGTGTGTGATAAACATGGAACTGCATATAGGGACCTTGGTTAACAAGAAGTAGGAAGAAACATATCGATCACACGAAGAGCAATGAGCCTCGCTCGCCGAAAATACTTCTAGTTTGCTAGTATTTCGTACCACAATGCTGAAAATGTAGCAAAACTCACCTTAAGAGGTTGTAATACCAGTGGGTATGGTTTGCTCCTTTCAGGATCTGTTAACCCATCGGTGATAACAATAAGGACGTCAGGCTTGTCAAACCGATCCCCTCCTTGCCCAGAAAACAGTGAAGTGTTTGCAAGTTCCAGTGCTTTGTCGGTTCTTGTTCCCTCTCTCAAGTAAGGAAAACTTTTTATCTTTTGCTTTAGACTTTCGGGGTTATGATATTGAACGTCCTTAAAGCTGAATTGAAGTTCAGCCTCACTGCTGTAAACTATACTTCCAAAATGAGTTCCCTTCTGTGACACTTTAAAGTGTTCTGTCAAGTTAGCTACAAACTGTAGACAAAGCTGGTAATTAGGTAGCTTGACACTCTCAGAAGCATCAATGATTAGGCCGATATCCAGCGCCTGCTCGCAAACTGAAATTAGGAAGAAATATGAATAAACTGACGGACAAATAGTTGGATACACAGTAATTTTGTTTTCATAACCGCACTGTTGTAAAGTGTACCGTTATGGTGAAGCGTCAATGTAATTCATGTCTCTTCAACAAAATCTCCTTTCAAGTTTTGAAATGAAATGGACTTTAAAGCTCCTTACTCTTCTCTAAATTTGAACACAGTAGGTCTACAAACAGTCAAAATCAACATTAACACGACAGACAAGAGAGTGTAGCTGTAGTATGATGGGTCACAATGCATTTGTGATCCCCCTCAATGCCGAGAAAGGTAGTAGGTACAGCTTTGGAATAATAATAGCATTCAGAGAAAGAATCATGTATGCTTGACGCATGCTTGTCTCAGTTAACGCGTAGCTAGCGATTTTGCTCTAAGCCCCTGTACCTTTCAAGTTTAAGGGTTCCCAACAACTCGTTCCAAACGAAAAAAGACAAGTCGCACTTAGCTTACATCACTTTTTTTCGGTACTTTAACATTAATCTTACCTGGTGGTTTTGGTGTAGGTGGTGTAGGTGGCAAAGGAGTAGGAGTAGGTACTGCAAATAAAGTAAAAGTACAGATTGGAAAGTAAATACCAATGTTGCTTCAGGGCAGGAGTCAAAATTTCCAAAGTAAGTTTCGCAGAGAACAATGTCTCCAGACTGTCTATCATATTCTCTTTGACTAATCCCGATCCTGTTGTCCGAACAACAGAGTTTAGTTACCTTACGCTATTATCGCCACATATTGTAAACACAGCGGTCAAAAGTCGGGCTTGCAATATGGCTCGCCGTGCGCCAATGTCCCACGCAAAATTTCAAAGGAAGGCACACCAAACAACCGCTGTTTCGCAATATAAGATAAAAAAAACTTGAAATTTTCATAGAAATCTGTAAAAAGGAAACAGAGTAGGAAAAGGAGAACTCGAGACTTTTTGAACACAAAGCTTATTTAAACATAGGTATTCTGTTGATTCCTCATTCTGTTTGAGCATTACCAAATAAGTTATTACGGTTAAAAACCGTGACTTACCGGCTTATGCGGTTGTTTCTAACTCATGTGAGTCAATTTGGTGCTGACGGCTTGAAAGCACGCCACGTAATCGTAAATACATTCCACATGCGCAGACACTCGACCGCTGTATTCGTATTATATGGCGGGAGCTTGCGGCCGATATGACGCGTGCTCCGATTGGCTAAACCGAAACCTTAGCTATTATCCTCTTTTTCTGAAATCCGAGAGGATGAAAACGATAAGGGCCAAAAAACACCCAGAAAGGGTAAATCCAACTACATGTAGCTAACATTATCTGAGCAAAAATTTGTAGCTCGACAAGGAAATCTGTGGGGAGCTTTTACCGCTCTTCTCTTGAGGGATTTATGACTACTCTGTACTAACCTCTCCATCACTCGATCTCGGAAAACATAGACTTACCTACAGTAAAGCAGCTAGCGCTACAAGTGGTTACCACACTGGTGGAGGTTGCTGTAAGTGTGTTAGTTTGGGTTAATGTTTGGTTGTGAGTGTTGGTCAAAGTCTGTGTCAGCACTGCTGTACTGGTTGCGGTCAATGTATCGGTGGTCTTAGCAGTGCTTGTTGCAGTCAAAACAGCAGTACTGGTGGCTGTAGCTGTAGATGTTGTCGTAGCAGTAATAACATTTGTGGCATTATACGTTGAAGTTGAAGTTTGCGTTGCCACTGTAGTCAGAGTTTTAGTTAGTGTTTTTGTCGCGAGATGAGTGGTATTAACGGTGTTTGTTGTGGTGGCTGTGGTCAGTAAAGCGCTTGTTGTAATTCCTGTGCTAGTAACTGTGTCTGTTTTCGTCGTTGTTAAGGTGTGTGTGTTAGTTTTGTTTGCAGTGCTCGTCACAATGTTTGTAGTTGTTGCTGTTGTTCTTATCACATCTGTAGTAGTCATAGTATGAGTGTCAGTGGTATTTACTATCCTTGTACTTGTAGTTGTCAGAGTCTTCGTGCTGGTTACTGGCTGGTGACTGGTTAATACAGCTGTGCTTGTTTCCGTGGTGTGATGAGTGCTGGTGGCTACTTGTGTATTTGTAGTAGTCAGAGTAGAAGTTGCAGTGACAACATCTGTCTGTGTGTGGGTCTGTGTGGTCAGTGCTGTATTTGTTGTTGTTTCAGTGTTAGTTATGGTAGCAACCGCTGTACTTGTCTCGGTTTGAGTGCTGGTTGATATTAAAGTTGTTGTATCAGTTGCTGTCTTGGTAACTGTTGTTAGGCATGGGCCAGGTGTAGAACATGAATTATTGGTGGATGCAGATGGTTTGGGCGGAACACAAGTCGCAAAAATATCTACTTTGACGCAAATAGATGGAAAGCTGCATGTAGGAATAGGGCACTGATAATTTCTTTGAGGCCGTGATACTGATCCAGCTTCTAATGCTCTTTGCGCTCTGTGTTGCAGTGCTGGTGAAGTTTGAGGTGTTTCATGAGTCGTTGGTTGAGCGGGTATTCCGGTACCAGTCTTTTGATATGCAGTATACTGATTCCACAAAGGGTTCGACCATGAAACACTCATCGGCAAATGGGAAGAATTAGCTGGGGCTTCTTTTAAATCATAGAAAACAAAAAACAAAGTGAAGGTCACATCTTGGCGAAGGAATTTAAAACAAATGAATGAGAGAATGAGGTGAAAGAAAAACACTAGTTTTCAATTCAGAGAGCATGAGTTGTGTCCTTTGCTTGCCCTGGAAATGAAAAGAGTAACAGTAATAGATTTGTTTTGATAATGACCAGTGGTCAAAAGAATCACATTATTGTTTGACTTGTATTAAACTGCGTCAAAATTTTTCCATGTATGTTCATGAAGTGTGGGAAGGGGGAGATGTCTTAGACTTGGATGGTAATTGGGGAAAACTAAATGCCAATTATTGCAATCTTAATGAACTACCTCCACCTTAAATTGATATTACTCACATGGTAGTCAAACAAAGTTTCTAAACCATGTCTTTACTGACGCTGGGAAAATTTGCGTCAAGCAATGGCAATCAGAATTAGATATGTATCATAAGAAAGGCGGCGGAATTTGACCGTGCTCATGAAGTAAATAGGATCTTTTTTCATTTTTCTTGTTTTGCCTCCATCTTTCTTTTCACATTGCTGATCCTAACAGTAAGCAGGAAGTTGGTCACAACAGAACCTTATAATAGTTTAGGGTGGCAATAACGGCCAGGCCGTTCTGTGTGGTATCGGGTACCCGTGATGACCCTTGCCTTCGAGACAACTTTACGGGGCTTTTAATAGATTGTGAGTTGTAAAAGCTGTCCCCTCGCCAATCTCACCGTGACAGCTAGGCAGGATACGTATTGGACAAATTGTCGGACCCTAGGAAAGGATTAACAATCAGTACTGTGTTTTTTCTCTGAAGTCTGACCGCATTATTTTCAATGGCTGCCAATTTACGACTTTTCTCTATGAAGAGCCAACAAGAAATACCAATAGCTTAAGGCTCGAGCCAGGAAGGCGAGCTGAAGTGTTTGTATGAAAATAAGTTGCCCCGCCTGACAAGGTTACCCTAACTGCTAAGGCGAGAAAACTCGCCCTCCCACGACGAGACTAGACGATTTCGCCATTTTCATATAAATGGTTGGTTGAGCTTTTCAGAGGTTGGTGAGAAGATAGCATGGCCAGGGCATCTCGGAGACGGGTTGTCTCGGGTACCCGAGACCATATAAATCAGCCTTAAGTTAAATTAATTATTGCCTTTGCATTCTCTCTCTCTCCAATTAGTAAAGGTTTTAGGGATGAGCAGAGCGCAAGTTAGGGAATAATTGGCCAGCGAGTAATTTCCAATCGATTGAGCACGTATCGCAGCTTTTGCGACTGTACTTTACGCAAAATAAACGCAAAATCAAAAGAGTAGCACTCTACTCCTATTACAAACAAGTTAACTGTATTTATAAAATCGTTTCAGAAACTCGCTAACAGAAAATTGACAAAAAGATTAACTTTTTTTCACTTTTGACAGATTAAAAATGTCCGCTTACATGCAGTTTGTGATCAGATGGATTAAACCGGACGCTTTAGTCCTGTAAAAGTCGGTTAACCTTGAAAAAGGTCGTAAACAACCAATCAGATAAAAGCGATTTGTCATTGACAGAATTATCGGAGAGAAAAAGGTTAATTGACATGAATCTACATCAACGAAAAAAACTGAAGAGTTCATTCACTTTGGTTGGCAGATTATATGTGGTTCGCTGCATTTAATATGTGTATATAAACCATACGTGTATGTTTCATGGCTTGAAGTGATAACTTTTAGGCGAAATCTTTCTGCCCCGCGGCTTGGCATTTCAGGGACACCAACAATCCTAACACCTGCACTCTAAAGTTACCAAGCTGAGACAAACAAGTATCAAGGCTGTCTGATAAGGAGAAAGGGTCACGGAAACTGCGGGACTTACTGACTTGTGCGACTTGTTCTTTCATTAGAAATTTCTCTTCTTTTTTTATCTCTTTTTACTTCCTACGGGTGTTCAGAAAAAGGTAATAGGCCTTATCAAGATTATGAATAGTTAACGTTTTTCTGCTGACAAGAATACCAAATTATCCCCCACAAGCGATCTAAAATAAAGTGATTGAGATGATAAATGATAGTTATTCCCCATTTATAAACTCAATAGCGACTCTTTTAATTCTTGCTTTGCGTGCGTTTTGATTTTACCAAAATGTACATATGTTTTCAATAATACAATATTTCCCAAAGTAAAATGGAAAAGAATCTATAAGCCCATGAAAATGAACAATGTTAGCTTGAAGTTGAATGAAAATCAACCACGATAAACAGATTTAGAGAAACCTTGCTAGTGGGATCAAGTTATCTACAGAAAAGAAATTGTCATTCTGTCGCTGTAGCTAGAGTTATTCGGTCATTCATTTCATGTGGGGACTGTCTTGCAGTAAACTGAAAAAACACAAACCTTCTCTTTAGTTAATTATCAAAACATACCTTTACTAGAATAACCGTCAGATTTTCCTGCCATGGAAAGATATGTAAATATTATATAGGCCAGATAAGCTAACGCATTCATATTCGATACACTTCAATATTGTTATTCAGGAGATTTCCGACATTGGACTGGACCGATGTATTCCAACTGTCAATTACTCATGGACTGACCAGTGAATTTCTCAAATATTACGTAAACGTATTTTTGCCTGACAAATGTCTTACCGTCGAACGTCCAATGAACACTGCCTGAATTTGCTATACTGGGTAGACTGTCGGCAGTCTGAAAGTACAAATTCGGCACTTAAAAAATAATTCTGGACTGCTGGTGCAACCAAGAAAATTACCGGGTCCCGATGTATAAAGGGCGGATAACGCTATCCAACGCATAAATTACTATCCTGCGGATGAGTGATAGCAAAACTTTCTGCGCTATCCACCGGATAAAGAATTATCCAATAGACAGAGTTATCCAGCCTTTGAACAACCTGGGCCTGGAGGGGATTATTAGAAAAGGGCTAACAGGTCTTTTGTATTTTAATCAACCTTCCTTTTTCTATGCTCTATATGACCATCGAACTAACTGAGGGCCATACTGTAGCCGCAAGTACAAAAACGGCTGAGGGCCAAGATTTCCTAATAATGCTCGAGCAAGTGAGGTGAGTAAGTAGTTTATTAAAATGCACCCAGACTAATCTTGCACAACTTGAATTTGCCGGCTTTCGTAAACAAACAACAGGGCTTATGACCGTTTCCGTGGAAATCGTTTCAAGTTAAAAGATCCCCCGTTGGGAGGAATTATATGAAGCTATTCGTATGAAAAATAAAGAGAAAATCCAAAACAGCAACGCAAATAGCTACCGCCATCATGGCTATATTTCGCTGCTTGATGCTAAAGGTTACCGTGGACTTTTAGGACTTAAAGTGTTGCATTCAACATATTACACATGCATTCATTTGGCCTCTAAGCTTAACACTACGCAACAATTTTTTACACGATGTTACTTCTTTTTAGCCAAGCTTATATACGCCAACGTACGATATGTTTGAAAGTGAGCCAGAAAAATAGGTACAATTTTGAGTAAAAATGTCAAAAATCTGCCTTTAGCCAGCGATTCTGCATAATAACATTCTTCCTTATTTTTTTCTTTCATATGTCTCACAAATACCCGTAGCCATGGTCCGGGTTCTACTATTAGCAAGACGGAATAAAAAGAAATGTTTCCTTAGACTACTTCAGTGTGTTGTGATGAAGCATTGGAAGATGCCTTAAACCTCTGTTTAGCAGCTTCTCTGTGCAGCTCATTAGATTGTTTAGTAGTGCAATCATTTGGACTCGATGCGATTTTCTAGCGAGTTTTTTGATTATTTGTTTTCAGGTTTTTGTGTGGGACTCAGGTTTACCTTTATTCGTATCTAACTCATAGTTATCAGTCACTCTATTCCTTGAGCAGTAAATCCAAGAACCTGTATTTTTTTTTTTTTTTTAATTACATGTC